TGACCACCACCACCCCCTTCCTCGCTCCCAGCAGTCTCCAGCGCAGTCCTCGCTCGCGTCCTCGCCATCGCTCGCGTCCTCGCCACCGCGTGCGTAGCTCGCGTAGTTTCCCGCGTAGCTTCCCGCGTCATGTCGGCGTCCTCGCCCTCACTCTCGCCCTCGCCCTCGCCGCCGCCGCCGCCGCCCTCGCCCTCGTCTCCCTCGCCCTCGTCTCCCTCGCCCTCGCCCTCGCCGCCACCGCCGCCACCGCAGCCACCACCCCCACTGTCGCCGTCTCCTCCTCCTCCTCCTCCTCCTCCGCGGCTGTGCCGCGCACGCTTCGGCGCCCGCGCCCTGCTCTCCAAACCCCCTTCGCTGTGGACCTCCTCCTCCTCCCATGCGTCGTCGTCCTCCCATTCCTCCTCGCCGTCCTCCTCGCCGTCCAGGACCATGGAGAGGACCTTTGGGGAAGCCCTCGTCGGCATGTAAGCCGCGCCATTGTGGATGAAGACGTGGCTCATATTGCACGCTTCGGCCTGTCCGCACTGGTTTGGCGCCAGCTTGATCCGAGGCCCGCAGCCTTGGCCGCAGCCTTGGCCTGCTTCCTCTCGCTGATTTCGCGCAGCCTCGTCGAGCAGGCCGACCAGCTTGGGATGCATCTCTGGCGTAGCTACGCGGCCCACCCAGTGCCAGTGGCTCACGTCCGCCTCGCTGTCATCTGCGGTTGCAATTTCCGAGCCAGCTGGAGCAATGCCGTTCCTGGACAGCTCCTCGCGCACAGCCTTGTACTCGTTGGCGAGGACAGACCGCCACACGGTGCCGCCAGCGCGAGCCACTGGGTCGCCGCCGTCCAAACCCACTCCTGCGTCGGCCTGCCCGTCCTGGGGGTCGAACTCCATCGCCATCGTGAGGTCGGCGGGCTTGTCGCGCGCGTTCAGCGTGACGCTGAAGCGGGCCTACGTTCAACGGCTGCCCGCGCAGCATGAGTCCACCGACGAGAAGGGGGGAGGGGGCTAGGCTGTGCCGACTCGAGACTGCCGCGATGCGCCGCCTCTGCCGCCGCCTCCACCTCGTAAGCCACCACGCGGGCGGCCTTCCATCTCCTCTCGCCTGCGTTCAGGACCCAGACCGCGGTGCCCGGCAGCGGCAGAATGTGGCTGCGCCTGCTGCGCTGCTGTGGCGCTCGTTGCGTCCCTGGCCGTCGCGGTCGGTCTCGGTTGTGCTCGACCGCTCGGTCGCTGTCGATGTGTTGCATGAGCAGCGCCAGCGCCTGCACACGGTCGGGGGACCGCTCGGTCGCTGTCGATGTGTTGCATGAGCAGCGCCAGCGCCTGCACACGGTCGCCGCCCCGGCTGTCGAGCATCTCCTGAAGGCTGCGGAGAGCGTGCAGCTCGGCCGCCTCCGCCGCGGTGACCTGAGGTGTGGTCGACTCCACGTCTGGACGACAGGAGCCCGCGACAGCCCGCGACGTTAAAAGTGCAAGGCGCAGTGCGCGGTGTTGCCTCGTCGCGTTCTGTTTGGAGCGCCAGCTCTCGGAGGAGCAGGTCGACCTTGCCGCTCCTCGCACCTGGCTCATCGTCAAACTGGCGCAGCAGGCTTCGCGTGAGGTGGAAGTTCGGGAGCGTCAGGCTGGGCCTGCCGCGACCAGCGCCGCCGCCGGCAAGTGTACCCGCAGCTCGGCCGCCTCCAGAGCACTCACCGTCACCCATCGGGCACAGCTGCATATTCGATCTCTGCGATCGCATCCAGCGACGGAATCTTAAGAATTCTTGTTCATGCCTGTGTTAACCTCCCACCCCCACCCACTCCCACGCCCAACACCCCTCGGGCAGGGATGGCCGCCGCGAAGCTTACCGCTTTGGGTGGAGCCAGGGGTGCCCGATGGGTGGGGATGTGTGGTGTGGGGGAGGCTGGGTGGGGATGTGTGGTGTGGGGGTGGCTGTGGTGGGGCCGCTGGTGTGAGTCGCGTTTCTCGACCGAGGGCGCGCCAAAAAAAGGCATGTCTCTCACGCTCGAGGCCCGACGCTGTGGTCCGCGTGACCTGGTGGGTGACAAATTGCGATTTGCTGTCCGACTTATTTTTCGCCGCATGTTGGCCTCCCCCTCAGCCAATGTGGGCGCGGGCACAGGCTTTGCGGCGTCCCGGCTCCCGCTCAGCCAATGCGGCGGCACACCGGCTTTTGCTCACACAGGCTCCAAGTACACTGTCCAATCCAAATTGCTCAAAGCATTGTCCGGGTGAGGGGTGCACTGGCACGCCGATGCAGTGCCCTACCACCAGCACTGCATGCCCTCCACCACATCCCCTCCACCGCACCTCTCCGCAGTGCATCGAGCCGCAGTGCATCCTCTCCACCTCCCCCCTCCGCTACGCATAACCCCACTACCCTCCAGCCACCCCAGCCACCCCAGCCAAACTCGCCGTCGTGATTTGAGAGCTCCGTCATTTGAGAGCTCCGTCGCAAAGGCCTGCGCCGCCTCCCTGGCCCCTGGCACGCCCGTCGCTCCGCAGCCCTGGCGCCCGCAGCGGGGGCAGGTGGACGAGGCAAGCAGGCGCTGCACCACGTCCCCGAGGGCGCGCGCAAGGAGAGGCGGGAACTGGTTCGCGACAAGCGTGTGCATCGGCGAGAGGCTGCTGCCCCATACGCTGCGGCTGGCCGCCTCGAGCGACTCCGCCTCTGCGGCTGGGTAGCTCTGCGCGCGCAGAAGCAGCTGCAGCGGCAGCGGGCGCACCGTGGCGAGCACCGAGGCGCGCGCAGGGAGATGCGACTGCTGCAGCAGCAGCTGCTGCCCATCCCCCTCCCACAGGTAGCCTCGCGTCACCTTGGGGAGCCTGTCGAGAGGAGTCAGGACGTGGAGGGTGCGACTCTCTCTGCAGGTGGTCAGCAGGCTCCGCAGCGCGCACGTCTCGCTCACGAACCGGCGCCCCTGTGGGTTCGCAAAGAGGTCGAGCTGGCCGTCGGGTCCTTTGGCC